TTCAGTACTATAAAAAAATACTGAAAAGGTGCTCGCTTACAGAATAATTTGATCAAGCAAGCATTTCAAAAAAGCCTAAAGAAATAAGAAAAATTCTTCAGCACTTAAAGTTCCGGCAATTTCCAGAAGTGTAAATGCCATTGACAATGATAAGAGCTAGCATGTCTTTAAAAATTCTTAACGTAAAATTGTAAATTAGCAGACATTCTAAATAAATCTTTCAGTAAATGAATATAAAACAAAGTAAAGTGAAGGACCCCGTATAACGCGATAAAGAAAAACATACAAATTCTGAATTTGTAATTTAGTAATTCTGTGTTAATTAAATTTGACCCAAAAAGCGACATGGGTGCAACTTAATTTCAACTATATTTCCTACATTACAAGGAGTCCTAATGTTCTCTCTTTCTTCGTTCGAAAAAAAGAAAGTCACTCATGAAAGTCTCTCTGATAAACCACAATTATTCCTAAATCGACAATTTTCGACGGCCTTACACGGCGCGAACACAGATCCGAGAATAACGGTGAAGAAAATGGTAGGAAAAAATCACGTTACTCACGTTCTCCTCGACGGTTTTCTTGATCTTGGCTCCAGCCTCCGCGACGGTTTTTCCAGCCTTGTTCACAGCGCTGTACAAAAATCCACCCAGTGTCTTGGCGCCTGCCAGCGCCTTCGTCGAGACTGAGGGCAAAGAGAAGGGAAAATAATGAGCGTCGGTGATACGTTATCCGGCCGGATGGAATTTAATGGGAGAGCTCGGTCGCCGGGAAAAACGTCGAGCGGAGAGAGCGGCGCGGAAGAACAGCCCCGCCGCTGGAAGAAAACGAGGCGTAAACGCGCGAGAAACCCAGATACGTCACTCGAATTTCTCGCACTCGGGGGTTCGCTCCCCGGGGATTCTGGCGTTTATCAGCCGGCGCGCCCCGCTCGAGAAACTCTAAGCGTCCTGACGAGGAACACGTTCGAGTTGCGTCGCCGGAAACCCGGCTGATCGCCAGATGCAATTTAACGTGGTGAAATTGAGATGAAAATGTGCAAGCCGGAGAAAAGGTGAGAGAAGAGAGGGAAAAAAAAAAGGGATGAAAAATTGTGAAGTGTTCCTTCCCTCTCGCGCATTTTTCACTTTCGGTGCGCCGGGAATATACGAGAGTATTATTTCTGCGAAATGTCAGAGGGAAAATTGTGAAATTACCCCGTGGCTTACCTCTTCACTACGAAAATATTGAGAATAGAGCGAGTAGTCAGGGTGTTTGACGATTAAATCATTTTCCGCAGTGATAGATTAAACAAAGCTTTTAAAGGCTCTAATAACGTTAATGCATACACGGCTGGTTTCATTAGCGAAGTTGCGCGGTATTGAAATACCGTATTGTTAGTCTGTTTTGCTGGTTAATTTCTGGTGATTTTCCGTGATATTAAATGAGTACGGGAGAGTCGTACAGTACCGGCCAAAGCTAGATCTCGCTTATACTGTTAGTTGACTGCACTTTTGATGGAAAAACAAATAAATACTATAGCCCTGAGCAACGTATTCCGGCGACGTTCTTTTCTCTTCGGTATTACCAGAGTTCTAAGACGTTGAACGTTTACGCTGGTGTTCCGTACGACAAAAGTTAGTTTTCATAGCTGCAACGGTTGGGCTCGCGTGGAGTGTACGGATCAAGAAAATATCGATGCCTAAATAAAAGTTCTGTTCTATTTTTAAACGATTTTTACTAACATCGTTTATTACTTAGACCTTCAAATCTACCAACTAAGTAGCTGGCCGGTACTGTACGACAATTTTTCGTTCGCTGCAAATTACAACTTTTTTATTTCTACCGATTATTTATCTTTATGAGAAAATTTAAAGAAAACCATTTGTCCCTTTTTATCAAGCACCCTTTGTACTACAAATTACTTTTTTCAAATTTCATTTTTACCAACGTTACAAAAACTTAGAGTGGCCGGTACTGCACGACTCTCCCCTATATCGGTTGGGCTCACGTGGAGTGTACGGATCAAGAAAATATCGATCACTTTACCTGTGATATTTCTAGACGTGCCTAGATAAAAGTTCTATTCTATTTTTAAATGATTTTTACTAACATTATTTATTACTCAGACCTTGAAATCTACCAACTAAGTAGCTGGTCGGTACTGTACGACAATTTTTCGTTCGCTGCAAATTACAACTTTTTTATTTCTACCGATTATTTATCTTTATGAGAAAATTTAAAGAAAACCATTTGTCCCTTTTTATCAAGCACCCTTTGTACTACAAATTACTTTTTTCAAATTTCATTTTTACCAACGTTACAAAAACTTAGAGTGGCCGGTACTGCACGACTCTCCCCTATATGACCGACAATTTGGGGGTAATTAAGTACGTAGAAAAATTGGGTGAAATATGGAATATCATCGGGAACGTTGGTTTGCTTTGTTAAATTGAGATTAGTACAGGTATGGTGATAGGAGGTTAACAGTTAGTAATTAGCACACGTTGCTTGACGGATTCAGATTCCGAGATCAAGCAGGCCTTTGTGTCTGGACTGTACGACGGGCCTCGGGATATCAACCCCTGTTCACTATGCATTGCATCAATTCGCGAAATGACTTTATGGCTGCCATTGTTTCGAAACACGTGACATTAATTAGCTCAAGTAATTGCCAATATTATTCGAAATGTATTGTAAAATATCAAGAATCAAATTTACACCGAACTTTCTTCGAACGGTATGTAATAGAAATTCAAGAATGAAATTTGCAATAAATTTTGTTCGTACGAAATGTAGCAGGAGTTCAATAATAAAATTTGCAATAACTTCCTTCATACAGTATTCAACAAAATCTCCTGGACTTGAGTTAAATAATTTATCGCGGTGAAATGGAAGAAAATGAAGGCACTACCCTACTAAGTAACGATGTAACATTACTATATTACTTAATTAAATATTAAAAAAATGTCAGTAGGTAAAGCAAACATTTTCGCAATTTAAGTCGAAAAAATTTGGTCACGCAGCATAATTGTCTAAAAAATTTCGAGACGTCTCTCTTCACCAGGAGACCACTCGAAATTATTAAACTTTAATTAAGACCCACGCGTACATAAACTAGCACCGAGTGACGATGTAAAATTACCATATCGTCTAATTAAAACTAAAAAAAGTCAGTAAGTAAGTGAAAGATCGTTTCAATTTAAGTCCAGGACCTTTTCTAGAGTACTGTATTTATCTAAAATTGTCACGTATTTGGAGACGTCTGCTTTCCACCAGGGCCCCACTCGAAATGATAAAACTTTAATAAAGAGCCACACGTATATAAAACTAGCACCTTTTGCAACAGCCCCGAGACGAAATATCACCCCGTTGTCAGGCTCGTGTGTCTGGCATCCAAGCTGCCACCTGACGGAATGGCTGAAGGTACGCAGAATCATATTACCCTAATCCCTGTGTGTCACCTGAAGGATCTCTAGATAACTCTTTTTCTTTTTAATAAGTCTCTTTCAGGCAAAGATCTGCGCGTGAGGGGGGAATTACTTAACCTAAGGAGAGCTTATCTTTCCTGAAATTCATTACAGAGGATAACGATTTATACTTTAAACTGCAGTTTAAACCTCTAATGGAGAAATTAAGCGTGGCTGCTGGCGTTAACGCGCACAAACCATCCATGGGCGTAGCCTCGCAGGCAACTCGGCGTAAACCGAGGCCAATTTAATCAACCAAATTGAGCCTCTCTGCCTCTTCTAATACTTCTCTATCTATCTTACTCGCTCTCTCTCCCCTCTCTTTCGAATTCTTCCTTCTCGAGGGGCTTCTATTTCCTCGTTTCTTCCGACTAAACGAAGCTTGAATGCAGGATGAACTCGATATCGAGTCGGCCCGAGAACCGCATTTGCACAATTCCAGTGTAACGCGATTAAATTCACGGTCGATCGCCGTTAAAAAATAGCCGAGTGTCACCAACGTGGAGAGGTTCTCCGCCGTGGCTGGCAGTGTACCAAAGGCCAGTGAACAGGTGCCAAATATCGTGCGAGCCTTGCATCGGTTCTGGTCTCGTGTAATTTGTTGCCCGACAAGATCATGCCCTAGTCCAGAGGAAAATTTACACCAGGTCACGTATTACAACGGGAATAATAAGAAATATTACACTACTGTAACCCTGTTTATCGGCGACAAATCGATAACGACGCCGGGTCGCTACCACCAGGTCACACACTCTCGTTGCGACACACCAATTTTCCCTATATGTAAAACCAGCTTCAGATTTCATTCACGTAAGACGTAACCGGTTTCAACCCTTTCACTGCTGTCGGCGTTTATAGGCGCTTTGCAAATTCTTCCGTGCTGTTGGCGAGTTTTGGCAGACTCGCATTTCCATTTTAATTTATCGAAAGAAATTTAAAAATTTTTAATTTTTAAAAAACTTTAAAACGCCAAAACGAAAGATTTTGCTTATAGTGTGCCGCAGCGAAAGGGTTAATCTACAAATGCAAATTACTCGTACACTATGTGTTGTGTAAGAAAATTGTTCAGATAAAAAGTGAATGATTTCGAGGAAGCCATAATTCGGTGTAAGTAGTTCTTTTGTAGACGGATGTGTGGAGGTAATATGAAGGTCACATACGTTTTTTTAATACACTAATCGATGCAGCTCGTTATTCTCTAAAAAATTGTATTAACCCTTTACACGTGCACAAGTAATCCTCGAAAGAGTGCAATTTTGTTTAATTATTTTCTTTCACTCTTCGTATTGCGCTGTCCTTTCTATTCTATTGCAAAACTGTAAGTCACAGTATTACAAATAAATGGGAAATTTACTTCTACACGCCTGGGAAATAATTTAAAGAAAATAAAATTGGCAGGTCAATTTGAGAAAAATACGAGCGTAAAGGGGTTAAGCTATTTATGGCGAAATATCATTAATTCCGGAGATATTTCAATCAGAACGTTGGAAAATGGTCGTAGTATGAATATGTGCTGTTTCAAAGCAGCAGAAGATTACTTTGACTGTGATACGAGCTTTTCCGAGCTAATTAATGAATACAGCTATCTCGATGCCTTCACGGTTTATTACAAAGCTGAGCTATGTTCGATAAATATGTTACGATTCCATGAAATACATAAATTTAGTAGAATGAATGATTATTCTTGTTCAGAACATAGTCGATACGATTGCAATGCTTGGAAAGTGTAAAAATAATTATTATGCAGCTGCGAGATTCTATCGTATTAAAATACTCGGAAAGAAGGCATCCGAGTTGTGTAACAATAAAGTCATTAGGTAGTTGTCAGAGCTCGACAGGGAAATGTGACGCGAAAAAGGAAGGTTTCTAGTTTGAAAGGATTAACTACTTTAATTGTTTCCGGACACATTTCAAGTACACGTGAAGTTAGCCGGCAACATAATATTCCACAGTCAACTGTGTCTGACATAAGAAGAACAACACGCAACAATTGCAAAAAAATTAATTCATTTTTCGTCCAGTTAATTTTTGTCGGAATATCAATTCTTTCTATTTTCATGTTTTATTCACGGATGAAGCTGCATTTGACAATGTTGGCCAGTTAAACGGACATAACCACCATTGCTGGTCCCAAGAAAATCAAGAAATAACCACCATTGCTGGTCCCAAAAAAATCAAGAAGTAACTACCATTGCTGGTCCCAAGAAAATCAAGAAGTAACTACCATTGCTGGTCC